GCCCAGGCTGACTCCCCCCTCACCCCGCCCCGCAGCCGCCCGCGCCCAGGCTGACTCCCCCCTCACCCCGCCCCGCAGCCGCCCGCGCCCAGGCTGACTCCCCCCTCACCTGCTATAGTAGTCTCTGGAGCCTCCGTAGCCCCCACTTCTGGACTCAAACCGGTTCCCCCCATAGCCTCGGTCCCCTCCTCCTGCACATACAGGAAGAAGAAATGAGTACCAGCTCCCCCAAGCAGTGCCTCACAGCATCCCCAAGGGGCCCGTTCAGGCACTCACCTCTAGAGAACCCACGGCCCCGTCCTCGGCCCCCGCGGAAGAAGCCCCGGCCCCCGGCAGAGCCGCCACGATACCCCCGAGATCGGCTGTCTGGGGACTTGCCTGCCTGATCCACTCGGATCTGCCGCCCATCTACAGACTGGAGACCAGAGAGTGGCACAGGTTAGCAGGTGGGTGCCCCATCGTCAGGCCGGGCTCCCGCTCAGCACCCTGATGCTCACCTTCCCGTTCATGGCCATCATGGCATCCTTGGCATCATCGATGTTCTCAAAGGTGACAAACCCAAATCCCCGAGATCTCTGGGTCTCCCTGTCTTTCACAACCACCACTGTGCAGGGGAGAGAGGTCTGCAGTCAGCACCCAGCTGTCCCTGCAGGTAGGGAGTACAAGCCAGCCCCCTGGGCCGGCGGCCCAGCACCAGCCTCACCTTCAGAGATCTGTCCATATTTTGAGAAGACCTGCTCCAGCGACTGCTCATTGGTGTCAAAACTCAGCCCTCCAACGAAAAGCTTGCCTTCATCTGATGCCATGGCGGCCTGTGGCAGACACCAATTAAATCCTCAGCAGGGGCCCTCTCTTATCACCTCTCCCCTCTTCCTATTTTACGTAAATGACATATGTTCTTTGCTGGACATATTACAAAATCACTATTCTTATTTTTCATTATCCCCAACCCACACCTAGGACTTTTTTTTTTTTTTTTTTTGGTGGTGGGGAGTCTAGCTGTCACCTGGCTGCAGTGCAGTGATTTTTGGTGGGGGAGTCTAGCTGTCACCTGGGCTGCAGTGCAGTGATTTTTGGTGGGGGGAGTCTAGCTGTCACCTGGGCTGCAGTGCAGTGGTGCAATCATGGGTCACCGCAGCCTCCACCTCCTCCTGGGCTCAGGCAATCCTCCTACCTCAACCTACCAAGAAACTGGGACTGCAGGTGTGCACCACCACGATTGGCTAATTTTTTGTTTTTAAATTTATTTTCCTAGAGATGAGATCTCACGATGTTGCCCAGGCTGTCTGAAACGCCTAGGCTCCAGCGATCCTCCCGGCTTGGCCACCCAAAGGTTTGGAATTACAGGCATGTGCCACCACAACCAGCCACCTAGGACTTCTTAATTCAAATTGGTTTACCACACTGAATCCAGTCATTCTCAGCCCCACCCTCCCCCCAGACTGAAAGGCAGGCCGCACCCACTTCCACAGTCCTCCCCATGGGCAGGACCTCTGGTGTCTCCCTTCCCCAACAGCCTTCCAGTTGTGCCCTGGACAGGACTGCATCCTCAGTTTCTGCCCTTTCGGAACTGGCGCCAACTCCTACCCTAACCAGCTGATGTGCTGCTGGACCAAAGGGTGCTTCTGTTCACTGTAAAACGCCTCCTGAGACTGGTGGGCTGGCTGTCAGGGAGACCGCCCCGTCCTGGGGGACACCTCGGGCCAACGACTGACTTTTATAAACAGGACCTCAGCCGGGAATGGGGAAG